GAACTAAAGAAACCAGTAATGTGCTAGCCAAAAAGACAGCAGAGGGGACCATAAGCTCAACATGACCTTTGACCTCCAGAGCCCAGATGCGCAACGTGAAACGATTCTATTACTAAAAATGCTAACTCTGGGCTAGGCTACATTCATGGAGATATACCATCCAGGCGTAAGAGGTGACAGTCTGCTCTAGTTAGTGCTGACCAGGCCCTTCCTAGAGTAGTGTCCAGTCTTAAAGCTCACCTTTTAGGGACACACCTATAACCAGGAGGATCAGCATTCTTAGGATTAGGGAACTAAGGCATAATGAATGCCTGGGTGCTTTACGCACCTTCTCTTACATTGCTCTTCATATAGCCCTGTTAGGTAGGCCTTGTACTTCCTTTTTGAAAATGAGAAAACTAAAGCTAAGAGAGGTTAAAACTGGTTCCGGGTCACATACTAGCGAGCGGCAGTCAGGATTTGAACACAGAGCGGTCTGATCCAGAGCTCCCACTGTCTCTTGTGCAGCCTCCCTCAGTGAGAAATGGGGGGACAGAGTTTGAAATCCTTATTAGCGGTGACAACATGATTGCCACCTTCAGCTCTGCACAGGGCTCTGAGTAGAAGCGTTCTGCGTGACTGCAGAGGAGGGGATCTGAATGACCTTGGAAGTCTCAGGGAAGAGGATTTGTAGCTCCACAGAGGCGTGCCTTAGTGATGGCAGTGATTGGATGGACGCTGGAGGAGTTCCCCATGCCCGGGGGGTATGGCAGCAGGGTCTGGAAGGGCAGTGCTCACAGTGGAGAGATCTTGGCTGAGGACCTTGAAGTTCACTTTTGACCTTTGGGTTCCACGGGCCTGTGAAGCTGCTTGGCCGAAACTGATCAATCCCTTCAAAAGAAGTGATGACAATATCTGCTGGTATGTCTATTTGAACACACAAAAGTAAAAATTATATGCCCAAGGTAAGTAGCACATTGGCCCAGAGAAAACCAAAGACGGACATTGAAATGGATTCTGCTGGAAAGGCGTACAGGTTAAGCTATTGTTTCCTGTTAGCAAGAAACTAAACTCTGGAGAGATGTGCAGTCTTGGAAATAATCAAGGAAAATGTAATGAGGTGCTAGTTTTCACCTATTAAGCTGGCAAAATAATTTAAAACATGGTTGCATCCATTATATGTGTCAAGCATGTTAAACATGTTATTCCTCTTGACCCAGGTAAAACGACTCTAAGAAAATGACAGAAAATATAAAGGCAAAAAAACCCACACACAAAAATGTTCATCAACAATGTAAACATTTGAGGAGGCACAAATGGGCAGCTGGGTGGCAGAGAGTGAGAGCTCAGGGCAGGGAGGGAGCGGGGGCGTGCACAGGGTGAGGCCCATGCGTACGGGACGCTGCAGAGTGAGCACAGGGTGTCTGGAGGGCCAAAGGCAGGTATGAAAGCCAGAGATGGGATAGGAGCACACTGAGGTAAGGACTGAGTGGGTGTGGGGAGCGGAGGGGCGGGGAAGGGAGGAGAACAAGGCCAACATTACCACTGGCGGCCACTTATCCACTCTTCACTGGGGCACTTTCATTACATTCCCAGTCCTCCGTAACTATATATTATTTTCTCTAATTTGCAGATATATTATAGAAGGTCGTGTTCAGAAAGATGAAATAACTCACCTCGAGTGAGGTAGTAGGTGCTAGAGCTCGGAACTGAACTCAAATGCCCTCCTTAACTACCACCTCAGCTGGAGCAGAGTGTGCAGCGAGGCCTTTCATGAGCAGGCAGCCCAGACAGAGGGTGTGCCCCACAGCTGAGCCCCACAGCTGGCCAGAGGGTTCACTGGGCTGTAGTTTGATGTCCGTCCACTTGGTGGATGTTAGAACTGACGGCTATACATTTTATGGAGCAACTGGGAAGCATGTTAAATAGGGAGGGAAGGATACAAATCTGACCGTATGCTATGATCACAGGTATATAAAACACCTCTTTACACCCTTGAAGAAAAGACTAGAAGCAATATATTACGATGTTTGCAGTAGCGCAACTGGAATGTTTGTCCCAAAATTTCTATCCAGTGGTTTTTATTTCTTTATAATTATAAAAAAAACATCATAATTTAGAAACGCTCCCAAGAAACCTTTGGGCACATTAATAGTCACTAACACACTTTCGTCAGCTAGAAAATAAAAACAAGCCCCATCTTTATGTTTCACCTGGTTTCAACTTGTGGCCGGGGCTTCTGAAGACAGTGCCCAAACCTCAGCTCAGGCCCTGATGGTTCAATACTGACAGTCCTGTCCTACACAAGTCACAGCACTGGAAGAGAGGAATTGAAAAAAGAACTGAAGTATGCAAGTGAGGGGAAAACCAGCAGTGCCTGGACTGCAAGTCGCCTTCTGCATCATGTCCAGCTGAACAGCCTTTGGTGGGCATGAAACAGTAACCTAAACAAGGCTTTAGGGCGGAGCCTCAGCTATTTGAGAGGCAGTTTATTCTCAGTTTCAAATATCCTCAGGCACTTTAGAAGGAGCGCGTCCTATTAGTTCATAATCACTCCAGTTTCTTCACTGAAGCAGGACTCCTATTAGCCTGGTGTTACTCAGAAGTGGAACGTGTGTGAAAATCCATGTTCCCAGCTCCCTCCCAGATCTACTGAACCAAGCTCTCTAAACCACATCCTGGGAATCTGTATTTTAAGCACATCAGCAAATTCTTAAGATTGGGCAAGTTTGGGAAACCCTCTTCTACACAAAACAAACTTGGGTTTTGTGAATGTATTTGAATACAATAAAACTGAATCCTCATAAATGGTACTATTATTCCCAGTCCCTCCAAATGGCTTGAGTTAATGAGACTGATTACTTAGGTCAGGTCTCTCCCTAATATGCCCTGAGATTACACAGCTAGGTTCTCAGCCTAGGCCATAATACCCAACTCAGCTTTCAGGGAAGAGGTAAAAGGGCAGATTGTGCACAGACTTGGATTCTGACCCAGCTCCAATACTGACAACTCTGGGACCTTGGCCAAGAAGTTATTTAACCTTTTCTGAGCCCGTTTCCTCATTTGTGTGGATAAAAGAAAGATGGCCATGCCCTCATAACAGTAACCGGGCATCAGTTACACAAGAGCTCAAAAACCTCTCCAACTGACTAGGGTGTAAAACCTCATTGGAATCGGCTCTTAGGTCCTTCCTTGTCACCCCGACTTGTGATTTTATTCTGCCTGATAAGCTAAGGATAACTAATGTCTGCATGACTCTTTGAGACTCAGAGTCCCTTTTCCAGGTGTCACCTGGAGTCCTCTAAACAACCCTGAGTTAGGAATCATTATTTCCACTTTAGAAGAAACGAGCCCCAGAGAGGGCCAGTGACCTGCCCAGAAGTGACAGCAGTTTTTGGACTCAGATCTCACAATCTTCCACAGCCCTGTTGTCCTCAACGTGTGCACCGTACATTACACAAGTACGTTCACATGTCAGTATTTTAAAATACATATTTCCATGACGATTCCCCCCACTCACCCCAAAGCACCTATAAAGCAGGTATCATGCTGCATTAGTCTTTGTGAGAAAAATGCACAGAGCCTATGGGGAGTTGTAGTTTTGCCATGCTTAGGGAGAAGAGGGGTGAGCTCAAGTAGGATGCATACTTTTTTCCTGGCTCTCATATATTCCATACTACTCAGGCTCACGCTGACCCCACATCATTAAAATGAACACATCTTAAGAATGAACACATCACAAGAATCTATTGAACACAACGAAGTGTCACTAACTTTACTGACTTCATGAAATGAGTTAACCCTATGCTAAACACTTAGAAAAGTCCTGGCACGTATTAAGTATCTGTTGTTGTTATTATGAATATGTAATTATCCATACAGCCTGCAAGGTAGGCACTGTTTTCCTCATTATAATGATCAGGACTCTGAGAAGTTAGGTGATTGGTCCAAGGTCACACTGCTAGTTTGGGGAGAGCTGGGAAAATGCCATAAAAGGAAATTCACATCTATACATCTTACTAGTGAGCATATAGTATTTCACCTTACAAAGGATTGTTTTATTTACTGGAATAAAATTTCTCAGAGAGGCACCTACCACCCCTTCTTACTCCAGTGACTCTGAACGTTTGCTTACAGACCCCTAAGGGTCTAACGGTCTAGTGGATAAGCCATCACAGAAACCAGAGGTCAAAGTTTTCCAACCAATGTCTAAAAGCCAATAACCAGAAGTTAGTAACAATTGCCGACATTTCCTGAGTGCTATGTGTGTGTGTGTGTGTGTGTGTGTGTGTGTGTGTGTGTGTGTATATATATATATATATATATATATATATATATATAAAATACCCTCATAGCAACTCTGCAAGGTAGATATTATCTCCTTTTTACGGAACAGAAAATAGAAACTCGAGGTTAGGTTAAGCCCAAAGTGAGACGGGGAGCGAGGCTTGGAGCCCAGGTGCTCAGCCCCAAAACTTTGCCATTTCCAATGTACCAGGCTGACTTCACAGGCATTCTAGGAAGAAACGCGCAAATCAACAGGAAGATCGAATGTGGTTTGCCAGATCGCTCATCAGGCACCTTTGAGACTCGGTTACCGAATGAGATAAAAATTATGTAATTTGAAAGATCACTTGAGATACAAGATAGGAAAAACAAACTGACACAGGTGACACTGTCCGCGACTTCCTGACCACATCTAACGCGGGACCACATTTAACATTTCTGCCCCCCTCCACCCCTCTACAAAGAGCGACTAATTACCTGGAAGCTTAACATCAGATCCCCTTGAGTGGGAAAGGTGACTGTCCTAGGTCTTTCTTTGAAGTAAGAGACAGTAATCTTCTTTGGAGACAGCCCTTAAGATGTGTAGACTGCAGCCACATCCCTTATAAATTTTCTCTCCTTCAGCCGATATGTGCTGCCCCTCTAAGGGCACTGGTCACCTTCACTGCACACTTAATATCCTTAAATAAATGAGGATAACTATTGTTTACTTCAAAGAATTAATGAAGCTTTATTATAGAACAAAATAGAGGAACAGAGAATAGAAGTCCGTGAATGGTAAAAATACCAGTTCCAACTCTGGGTCAAGTGACAGACAATTCAGAGACACTCTATCCCCCTCTGAAAAGACAGCGTTTTCCCCATTCCCAGGATGACACTGGCGCCAGGTTGCTGCCTGAGTCTCAGCAAATCCATCTGCCTTCTTTACAGTGAGAAGTCCAAGTTCAGAACAAGCCGCTGACCCCAGAACCCTGCTGGCTCCCTGCCCACACACCATCACGCACGGCGAGGTCCGATCTGGATGGCACCACTGCCCGCAAATCACACGCCACGCAAGGAACACGAGAAGGCTTTATGAAAAATCCCAAGTTTATTGTAAATTGTATTTTGCTTCCCTTCGTTCTTCATTTTTACAGGATTTATTGATATCCATGATTTTTTCACAGATGTACTTGTTGACTTTGGAGAGTCTCTGTGCAATTTCAGTTTCATCCACAGTTTCTTGTGCTATTCTGTCATACAAACACTCTAGACAGGGAAAAGAAACAAAAAAGTCAGGGATTAATGGTGAGCTTGAGCGAAAACATTTTACGAGGGGGAGAGGAAAACGTGCCTCTGACATTCTTCCCAAATACCAATTCACGGATCTGGCGCAGCAATATTTTCACATTTTCGTTACAAAATGTACCTTGAAAAGGGTAGATATACACTGTAAATCTACCCTTTAGAAATAATGCTACAATGCCCATGTGCCTACTACCCAGCTTAACAGGACATTATCGGTCCCTCTGAGCCCCTGGACGCCCCTCCTGCATTCGTTCCATCCTCTCCTGGCCCTCGCCAGGAGTAACCACTTCCGAAATTTTGCTTCTCTTTTAATGTTAACACATATGCATACATCCTTAAACAACATAGTTTCCTTTCCTGTTGTTTACTTTTTTTTGTAAGTGTGCCGTACTCTATATATTCTTCTGACTTTGTTTTACTCAACAGTGCAGTTCTGAAATTGACCTATGTTCAGGTGTACAGCTACAGGTCATTCATTTGCATGAATATGGCTATTCCAGTTTGCTGATCCATTTTCTTGCCAATGGATACTTCAGATGTCTCCAGTGTTTGCAATTACAGGCAGGCTGGCACATGTCTCCTGGGGTACACGTGTAGGAAGCTCACCGGTGTTGGCTGGGTGTGGAGCTGCTGAATGTTGGGGTGTGTGCACATTCGACTTTGCTAGTGATGCCTAATAAGTTGTGCTCCAAAGGGGTGCTGCTGACTGGCACGCCTAACACGAGTGTGTGCAAGCACCGGGTTGGCCCGTATCTTCAACAGCACTTGCCATTGTCGGATGAAGGTTCTGACAAGCTGGCGGGTGTGAGGTGGTGTCTCACTGTGGTGATGACTAATGAGGCTCAGGAGAGCCACTTATACTGAGTCTGCCATTTGCTGAGACGAAGCAAAGAGTGGCCCAGCTAAGGCCTGCGGGAGCCCGGCTGCAGCCCCCTTCCTAGCCTGGGGACCCAGTGCAAGTCATTACCCTAGATTCCTCACCTCACAAACAAGGACACCAAAGCACAGAGTGTCTTTTTTAAGCCTACCATGAGGGATGTGAGATAAACATTTTGCAAGGCTTCTTCATACTGTAAGGAACACTACACCTGTGTAGGGTTGTTACAATTATTTTATTTTGGACAACTGTTCGTGCTTGGCACAGGGCAAGATTGATAAATATCTGCTAAATCAATGAATAAATGAGTGTTGTTCCAGTGAAACCTGAGGGGACGTAGAAATTCTGGACATAAGAGGACTGGGGTGTGGGTGGGGAATGTACTATTGGAGTATGTCTCGTGAGCAAGAATTTCAACTTCCGTGATTGAACCTGAGCTTCCTCACCTATAAAACAGGAATGACAACCCAAATTTAAGGAGAAGGAACAAAATCTTGTGCACCAGGCCCGCCCACAGCAGGTAATCCTCTTAGAAACGCAGAATGTCAACACTGGACTGGATCCGAGACTGACCTGTGCTACCTCTCCACTTACACGAGAAGCCTGAGGCCTGGACAGAGGAAGGAAGAACGGCAGAATCCACTGCTGCCGCCGTGCCCGCTCTGAGCCCGCCCTGGGCGCGCCTGCTGGCCTCTCGTCCCATCCTGCTGCAGGTGCATGTGCTCTACGGCTTCTTTCTCTGGGCACCTTCCCCCCCACTGAGGAGGGATTTGCCTTTCAAAGCTTTACCTGGCCTCCTGTTTCCTTCCTGACCACTCCAGAGCCCCACTAATCTTCGCTTCATCCTGTGTTGGCCTTTCCACAGTGACTGAGATAAGAAGGCAGGGGCCTGGCTCTCACCAGTCCTACCTCTGCTGTTACCATCTGCAAGTCTCTCCCCACTTCAGGCAATTTCCCAAATAAGAGTCTTTGCTCATCTCTTCCCAAGTTACTCAGGCCCCATGTTCTACCTGCCTAAACCCTATTCATTCTTCTGGGTTCGGCCTTCTTGGAACCCACTGAGTAGGGAGATGCCACTCTGCCTGCCACCTTTGTGCTCACTGTGCTTTCTGTCAAAGCACTGGTCACAGCCTATCAAAACGGCAACCGCACTGTCTCCCTGCAGGCTGGCACACTGGGCGTTGGAGGCCCACACTCACAGCTGACTTTGCTGGAACGCCAAGCAAATGAGGGAGATGACCTGTGCTGAGAACTGTCCTGAGGTTCAAGTGCTGGCTCTACACCTAGTTACTCTGCAGCCTCGAGTGGGAACCTCGCCGGGCCTCACGTTCACTGTCTGTGAACATAGGATGTCAAACCATAGCATCCAGGGAGATTCTTCTAGCTCTGTCTCTAGGAGGTAGTGAAGGTGGTGAAGAGGCAGAGGAGTGAGTGGGGAAGGAAGGAGGGTGGGTGTGAGGGCCCTCGGAGCCCCTAGCGAGAGTTGGAGAAGGCAGAGAAGAGAGGTACACGTGGAGATGGGTCTGCAGAGAGGCCCCACAGAACTCCAATCATTCTCATTTCCTGGGGATGAGAGCGCTGCACGGCCCCTCAGGTTGATTAAAAGGCTTTCGTTAGACTCTAGATATTAATCATCTGCAGTTGCCGGAATGTCTCCCTCTGCGAGGGAGCATTTGAGATTATTGCTTAATTAACAAGGTTTATAACAGCGCTAATGTGTCCTATTAAAAAAGTTATAAAAATTAACCAGAACTCAATGCTGAGGCTCATTTGGAAAACTCAGACGCTCTGCAAAAGGTCGTTTGACCTTCATAAGGCTTAAGTGTCATTCTGGAGCTTGTCATTAAAGCGAGACTCCTGCAACCCTCCCGTTTTCATCTTTCCAAAGCAGTGTCAATGCTCACCCCATCCCCTGCTACCCTGTAAGAAGCGATTTTAAAACCAGAGAAGAGAAACCCCTCATGAATCCTTTTGCCATTTTTATACAGCAAATGTGGCTAACTGGGATAAAGTCATATAAATATATACACACAATCTCAACTCAGTCGATGGCTTACATGGGAGAAACCAGTCAAGTGCCATCCGGAAAAGTGCAGATCATTAGGCTAAAAATGGTGGGTGTATGGTGGCCTGGGAGACAGGCCCAAAGCCTGCCTGGTTGTAGTAAAACAAACAAACAAACAAACAAACAAACAAACAAACAAACACTGTATTCAGTAAGATAAGACACCTCTGGAGACCAGGGAGGCCTGCAGGCCCAGCTCTGCTTGGCTCTGGTCTAACTGGCTGTATGGCCCTGGGCAAGTCAGTTTCCTTCTCGTTCACTTGTATGGCAGGCGAGCATTTACTGGCTCTGGGGGGTTGCTAGACCAGGCTCCTAGGAGGCAAAATACAGTGAGAGGAGAACGGAGATAGGCACAAGGTGCTCTGGGACTAAGGGAGGGAAGGCATTCTGAAGGGAGGTTCCCCTAAGCAGAGCTGGGTGGTGAGCAGCCAGACGAAGCAGCACAGGCACTGGGTCGGGAGCATGGCCTGTGTTCCAGGCACTGGGAACAAAACCTGCAAATTCCCTAATGTGAGAGGGCACAAGCCTTATTCAGGGAATACAGTAGTTCACTACGGCAAGATCTTAGAGTTCAAGGGGGGTTCTGCTGAAAAGTAAAGCTGGAGCTATAGCCCGGGGCCAGATTGCAACGGTGTGAAGAAGCTTACCCTTCTACGGGCACCACAGGCTGGCTGTGACAGTGGTAATGAGATCATGTTTTGTTTCTGAAAGGTCACGCAGTTATAGAATGGAAAGAGCAATCTGGAAGCTGCTGGGGTCGTGCCGGGGAGAAATGAGGTAGCCGGGACTGTGAGAGGGGCGGTGGGTATGGACAGAAGAGGACAGTTTAAGAGGTGTTTGGGGCAGGACAGATGGGGAGTGAGGCATGTGGAGGAATCAAGGATGAGACCTCTCTGGGTCTCCGCTGGTGGTGCCATTCACCGAAGCAGGGAACACAGAAGGGGCTGAGGCTCTGGGGGAAAAGGCGGTTGTGCGGCTTGGCCGATGGCACGTGCACATCCATGAAGAGACGTCCAGGGCACCGGATGTACGGGCTCGAAACTCAGAAGTGTGCTGCGATGTCAAATACAGATTTAGGACTCATCCTTCATAGCTCCAACAAGTGTTTACTGAGCACTTATTACACGCTAGCCCTGCACAAGATGCTCATAAAGCTTATATTCTAATGGGTGTGAGGGAGAAGGACAATTATCAAGTAAATAAACAAATAAGAAATACTGTGCCGAAATTTTAGGTAGGGTGATGTGACAGAGGGCTACTTCAGATGGGGCAGTTGGGGAAGGGATGATAAGAAGGAAGGAGGGTGTGAAGATCAGAGGAAGGTCACTGCCAGCAGTGGGAACGGAAAGGAAGTCGAAGAAGGCCTCTGTGGTCAGAGCACAGTAGGAAATGCGAAGTGCTGTGCGAGATGAGGTCAGAGGTGTCACCAGAGGCCAGGCCACCAGGCACCAGCCAGGATGAGGAGCGCGGAGCTCACCCCAGGGCCGTGGGCACGCTGAGGGCAATGGAACCAGTGGGCAGGGAACTCAGCCGAGGAAAGCTTTGGAGGGTGAAAAAAAAAGAAGAGGGCTGGGGACCAGAGGAGAGGGCAGCAGAAGAGGAACCTACAGGGGACGAGAAACCAATGAGAGAGGAGAAAATCCTGAGCGTGCAGGATGGGTTCTCAGTAAAGGAGGAGCGGCCGGTCCCGCAGTGCCAGGCAGGAGGTGAAAAACGTGCCCTGGATTTAGTGAGAAGGAAGGCAATGGGAAAACTGGCGAGCACTGGTTAAGTGGGGGCCTGGGAGTGCAAGTCCAACGGTGGAGGAGTCAGAAGAGAGCACAGGCAACGAGTGCGGGTAACTCGAGAAGCCAGGATGTGAAGAGGGAAAGAGGGACATGGCAACAGTTGGGTGAGGGCAGTGGCCTCTAGGGAGTGTTCTGTCTGTTTTGTAAGAAATGAGTGATCTAAGTATATTGAAACGATGCCGGGAAGGAACCAACAGAGGGGGAGCATAAGTGGAGGAATGAGGTACTTAGGAAGGAGGGTGGGCTAGGATCTAGATAAAGGGAATGGCCAGCCGCGCGAGAGAAGAAAACTCTTCTTTGGGGACATGAGGCAGAAGAATGGGGGGATGTGGCGAAGTCTGTAGGTGTGGAGGTTCGAAGCTGTGGGGTTTCTTTTCTTTTCTCTAGGAAGGAAGAGACAAGGCCATCTTCTGAGGAAAAGAGAGGTATAGACTGCCATGTTTGGGAAAAGTAGAGAAGGTTTAAAGAGAGTCTGGACAATGGGGGAGTGGGTCAGGGAGGGGAACTTGCAGGACTTGGCAGGTGGGCTTGAAGACAGTGAATCTGGAATGACCCCAAGTCACGCAGCTGAGGTGTTTTCTTCTAGATTGTTCTGTGGCACTGGGCACCATCATCTGAATGAGATTTAAAGAACAGTGAAAATGTCTATTTGGTCCACTGGGTAGCCAGGCCAAGGACTGTGGTCCTGGCTTTACAGATGGAGACGCCAAGCACTTGGTCTGGCGCTGCGCCAGGCTTGGGGAAACAAAAATAAGAATGATGCGAATCAGGGTAAGCTCAAAGTTAAACCAAAGCAGAGCTGGGGCTCTACACCGGCTTCCGGTGCCTGGTTCCAATTCTACTTTCCATCACACAGCACTGGGAACCGACAGGGGAGGGACTGCGTGCTGAGGAGCACCAAACAATCGTGACCATCATGAGGTCACATCGGCTCCATGGAGGCAGCTCACTTGTCAGCAAAGGTTGGTAACTTTTCACACCTCAAACATAACTGTTTCTAAACTATAACCCTAGACAGCCCTCTTTGCTGTCCTAAGAGGTAAGTTTTCAGCTGAGGGAACGGAGAAATGGAGGGAAAGTGATTTACAAGAAATCCCACCCAGGGGTGAGTCAGGCCCGGCAGTTCTCAGGGTTTCATTTGTTCAACCCTCATTACTGAGTTCCTGCTGTGTACCAGGCCTCTGCTAGGCAATGAGGACGTGGGCATGAATCAGATATGGTCAGACGAGTGCCTGAGGCGGATATACACTGTCACATGTTACACCATGTGACAGTGGTAGGCAGCCCATCATTGGAAGGCACCTGGGATCTGCTGAGTCACATTCCAACAAGTGGAATGGAATTAGAGGTCGGCCACCTATCAGGCAGGTCAGGGCTTCATCCCCAGGAAGGCCCTTTTTTCAGGGTGACCTCCCAAGTCCAGCTCCCCCATTTCAGACAGTGGACTGACTAAAGGTTACCTCTGACTGTCGAAAAATAAGTGGCTTCCTAAATCAGTTAATCATGAGTCAGCCAGACAAGGGAGGCAGCTGTGTTGTGGCCAAACAAGCCCCAGACCAGAGTCGGGGTTGTGGGTTTGAATCTGACGCCTTGGAGCTATGACCTCAGGCTGGTCATCTAATCTCTCTGTGTCCTGCCTCTTTGACCTCCAATGCATACCCTAAATCTGGCCACTTCCACAGTCATAACCGTAGTCCACGACACCAGCATTTTCCCCCAGGACCGCTGCACCCGCCTCCTAACTGATGTCCCATTTGGTCACTCCATGACTGGAACACTTCCACGGCCTTTCTTCTGTGAGCAGCGTAGATCCTGGCTGCTTGCTGTGGACTTCTCGGCCCTACCAGGCCGGCTCTCGTCCACCTCCCCGGCCTCACTCATGACTGCAGAACCCCGGGGCCTCTGCTTCTTGAGCGCGCTAGCCTTTGTACCTGCGGCTAACACTGTATGTTTCAGCACCCTCAGCCTTCACAGGGCTACCTCCTCCACACCCAGTTCCCAGCTCATCTTCACATCCTCAAACAGGCCTTCCCCACCTGCTCTGGCAAACACGGCCCTCTCCATCCTATCATATCACGTGGTGATGCCTCGCAGCCTGCATCAGAGCCTGAAATCAACTGACTTGTTCATGGGCCTGTCTGTCATCTGCCCTGAAACCTGGCACAGGGCCTGCTCAGAACGTTCATGGTGACCCACTAAGTCTGACTTTCTTCATCAGAACATGGCAGCTGGACACTTAGAGACTAGTGGTTGGGAACACAGCTTGTAAAGCAGCGCTCCTGGCGTGGACTCCTGCCTCTACCCCTACCAGCTGTATGATGTGCGCAAGTCATTTAACATCTCTGCGTCTCCATTCCCTCGTCTGTAAAACAGGGATAATCACAGTAGCCAACAGTAGGGGTGTTCTGAGGATTAAATGAGTTAATTCACGTACAAGTGTTTTTTAAAAACAGAACCATAAAACAAACCCAGAACCTGAAACAGTAAGTGCTCAGAATCCTTGGCAATTGCTATGGTCCTCTCTCTGTGCCTGGTACTTTCCTGCCTGTCCCTGTCATTTATATTATCTGTACAGTAACTCGCTGCTCTTGTGGTCCCCTTCCCCATGAGACATGAGCTCCTTGCAGATGGGGATTGTGTCCCAACCCTTTGTTCCCTCAGTACCTGGTAGAGGTCCTGGCAAAGGCTAAGAGCTTAGTGAACGGATAGAGAGAGTGTGGGAGAGACAGAGGAAAGAAAGAAGAGAGAGGAAGAGAGGGCAGGGAAGGAAAATCCAGGGTACAGTCACCCCATCTTTTTGCCTTCCCCACAACCCCTCCCAAACACCAGAAAAGAAGCTGGGTTCAGTGATCCTCAGCTGGTCTTCATCTCATTAACTGATCCAGGAACGACGCTGGAGCCCCCAGGAACTGCGTCCTCTCGCCTCCACCTTTACTGGTCTCTGTACACAGCAGCATTCCTCACCCATCTCCATGCCCTTGTTCCAGATGCTCTGCCTCCTGAAGTATCTCTCTTTACACATTTGCACCTCCATGCCCTTCAAGGCCCAATCCAGTGACCCCTGCCCCAGGAACCTCCCCTGACTTCCCAGCTAGGGGTCTCCTCCCCTCCTCCCCTTGAGAACGCCCTTAACACATCAGCTGCCCCTCTCCCACGCTGGCTCCCTGCACTGCACTTGTGTCCACAGCTCATCTGCCCTGTTAAATGTGAGCTCTTCTGGGACGAGGTCCACGTCTGCGCCTCTGTCCCCAGGCCCAGTCCAGGGCCTGGCGTGGAGGGGCTTTGGTAAGTGCTAGTTGAAAGGAACTGCTCCTATTACATTCTTGAGTCAAGGACGTTTCTACTGCAGTGACCTACCTCTGACGATGCTGAGTTTGTGAGGCGAGAGGGGTGGTTTAGGGACTGCATCTTTCTTTTTTTTTGTGGCAACTCCTGTGACGCTTCTGTTCTTCAGAACATCTGTTCCCCAAATCATGACTGCCAAGTTCTTTGTGTACTTGGAATCTCCTTGGGTTACTTGTAGCTGGTGCCACTTCTCCTCATCAACCCAAATCCCGCTTCCCAGATGGACCTGAAAGGGATAAGAACGCAAGCACCTGTTTAGTCGGACAGGATGACACTTAGAAACTTTTCTTGTCCTTTAGATGACATTCCTGCACAGCTATAGGGGAATCATCCCATAAATGCTACATTAACTTTCTTTGAGGGAAATAATGAAACTCGCTTACTGAATACCTGTAATGTGCCAGGCCTTATTCTAGTGGTTTATACCCACTATCTCAAATCTTCATGGCAACCCTGGAAAGAAGGTGTTGGGAACTATTTTCACTGCAGATGGAAAAACCAGGTTGAGAAAAGGGAAGCCACTTGCCAAAAGTCACTCAACTACGCAGCTGCAGACCTGAGATTCTAAACTGTACTCACATTTATCACCAGGCTGCTCAGAAGTTGACCAAATTTCAGGAACATGTTTGTTTAACTCTTTTCTCTGTTACATGTTAGAAAGACCTCTCTCCCTTGAATGTGAACATTCTGGGATGCACAGCGTCCTTGCACACTGGCTCTCAGCCTTGGCTACACATGGGGTCACACGGGGAGCTCTACTCATAAACATTGCTGGTGCCTGGGACCCACTCCCAGACACTGCCTTATTTTGTCCGGGCGGGGCCCAGGTATCAGGGTGGTAATTCCAATGGACAGCTATGTTTGGAAACCACTGCCAGCTGGAGTGGGAGGGCAGCTGTCCAGGCCCTGCCATTAATCGGTGTGGCTTGTGCAAGTCCTCGCCCCTCTCTGGCTTCAGTTTCTCGTGAACCGAGCTGGGAGAGTTGGATCTCATCTCTAAGGTCCTTCCGGCTAGGAACGCCTATGATTTGAAACTGAACACAACTACAGTGCCCTGGTCTGGTTCTGACGGCACACAGAACAGAATATAATCTTATGCTCCCCGTAAAGGAAGCACTCAGGAAGTTTCAATGCAGAGTCAATAAATGCTGAAGACGCAGAATGTTCTAGCAATGAGCTACCAGCTTTGAACTATTGTGCTCTTTTCTGGCTCTTTCAGCAACTCAAAAAATATTTGCTACCATTAACCATTAAAAAGGGAGTTTGACTCTGACATCGCCATTTATGTCACATTTCTGCTGAGTCTAGGGAGGGTGAAAATGGCCTCTCTGGGACGAAGGGGAGGCGGCCACTAGTAAGCTGAGTGCTGTAAGGGGAATACAGTGGCTCGGCCAAAGGTCCCTGTCTTCAGAAAGGCCTGCGGATCGTCAACATTGCATGGTCAGGGGGTGACTCGGGAGAAGTTCTGGTCTGAGACACTGCACACCACCCATTGTTCAAAGATAATTAAAGCTCTTTCTGCTGAAGCTTGGTGTGGGGAAGGAAGATGAGCACTAGGCAGTGGGCAGACAGGTCCGCCAACAACACTGCGATTTGCTTGACCGAGGTTTTTCAACCATCGAAAAGGAAAGGAAAAACCCAACACAGCCCACCCCTGGGTGTCAGTAAGCAAACGATGCAGCTGCCACATACGACTTCACTTTCTTTTGCCCAGAGGTTGTTCAGGCCTCCGCAGGCATGATATCAGATAGGCAGACCCCCCCTGGCCTCCCGGTGCCGGAAACTTTAGTACCGCAAATCCATTCACACGGCTCAACGTAAGCGACCCTGGAGGGAGATGTGCTACCTGGGGCTGGCTGGGCAACACCAACCCAAGGGCAAGTTCGGCTTTTTCGCTGCAGTCTGAACTGCAGATGGGCAGTCTGTGTGCTACAGCAGGCATGCTGTGGACAGGCTCCCTGCTGCTCCCGGCCAGGCCCCAAGTCGCCTACCCACGCCAGTTTCCAGAGATCGGGGGAAAACAAGGGATTCAATTCAGAGTCAGGAAACCACAGAGATGGGAGACAACATCAGTTCATCAAAGGTCTCTGCTCTTTTCTACCCCAAGCCTTGATTGCCTGTAATCTTTTATTCTTCTTAAAAGAGAGGTGACAGTCATTGTAGACAATGTTCTACAAGAGAAAGGGGACACTAGCATTTTTTGAGCACCTATACTGAACTAGGTATTGTTCCTTCAATTTATTTGTCCTCATGATGACCTGAAGGTGAAAATAGGTAGAGATTATTGTTCCCATTTTACAGACATGAGCAGAGATGTAGAGGGACTAAATTACTTTTCCTAAGACATAGTATCGGTAAAACTTAGAATCCAGATTCAAACCCAAGTCTGTATGCCCTACAGCCCCTGCTCTCCTGTTTCCTGCTACTGCCAGTGACACGGGGCTGCCAGCGTAGAGCAAGTCCAGCAGGCCTATGCCCAGTTAGCTCTCCTCTGTACCGCAGTGCACCCAGTGCAGACAGGGCACCCAGGAAAAAAGCTGAGGGCTGGCCTTCCTGCCTCCAGTCCCTGCTCCCTCCAGCACACCCTGGAAATTGCCAGATTCATGTCCCTAAAACACATCTTTCCTTCTACAACTAGATGAATTCAGCAGTTTTTCACAAAATCTGTGAAAGACCTAAGTTTTCTGTCAACTGTCTGGAACCTTGAATGGTTCCCCGTTTCCTGTCACATAAACTCTGAAGGCCTCTCTAGAATCCTGCTTGCAACCAAGCTGCTCACTTTTACTCCCCTACTGTGTCCATCACTCCAGGAAGCTCCGCAATGCTTTCATTTCCTTCTACTTCCGGTGTGCGGTGCCAGACAGGGGTGGGCCCTGGAGCCTCTGTCCCTGCGTATGGATCCTGGCTCTTCTACCTAACTAGCTGGGTATCCTGGGAAAGTCACTTTACCTCTCTGAGCCTTACTTTTCTCAGCTGTACGATAGACAGAACACCACCTAATCTGCAGAGCCATTTGAGGGTTAAATGAGAACTTGAGTAAAACACAGGACAGCACGCGTCCAGTACTGTTAATTCCTTTGCCTTCTTCCCCCGACCCACGTCTCTGCTCATGTCGTTTCCCTGTCCAGGAATGAATGCCTTTCCTTCTGTCTTCTTAAGCCTGCTAATCTTTCAGGCCCCAGTCCAGATCCCAGAAAACACTCCTTAACTACTCCAGGGCTAAGTCCGATCCCCTCTGAATTTCCAACCTACTGAGAGACAGCCTTCACCACCTGATTCAGTCCTTCACAGAACATCTCCGTGGGGAGGGGTCGAGGCTTTGCCTCTTGTCCCCTACAAAGTGATCAAGACTAGTCTGAACACAAAGGAAGAATCTGATGGCATATTTAATATGTTTTAAGGGCACTGACTTTCAGCTCTGGTGAGGGACAGTGCCTTGGAGAAGAAACAATTTTCTGACATTCACTCAAGTACAAGGTCAACCTTTCATCACAGAAAGAAATGCCCCCGTCTTAGACCAATTGGAGATGCATGCTGGGGCATCTGGCATAAGGGCTCCTGAGGTCAGCTAAGTCCGGGGTCACCGAGAGCAGTGCCCAGCTTTCAGGGCTGCAGCGGAACTGGCTGAGAAGAGCACTGGCCTGGGGATCAGGAGGCCTGGCTTCCAGCCCCGCTTGCTTGCCTCTACTGTGCTGCATAATGGGGGACACCTCCCTTCTCTGGATGTGTGTCTCCATATATGTCATGTATAAGTTAGACTATCTAAACTTTAATGGTCTTTGCAGCTTTATGATTCAATTTGAGTTTCTGAAATAAAATGTCGCAGACAAAGAAAAGCAATGAACTTTATCAAAATCAGAAAGTAACTTCAGTGGCAAGCCCTTTTCACATAAACCACAGTTCACTATTTGACCAAAATGTGTTAAGGGGGATTAACACATTTAAAAATGTGTTCAATGTGTTAAGATGTCACAATATTAAAATGATGACATCTGGTAGGATGGGACTTGATCAGAAACGTCTCTGTGAAATGTTTTGTAGGACAAAAGTAGTTTCCTACAAGGAAACAGGCCCTGTTCCAGTGCTTTAGGCTTTGCAGAGATTAAGGCTTGTGTTCATGCAGGCGAGAGAAGGGAGGGTCAGACATGACCGCAGAGCCAGGACAATGAGGGCTACTTCCGGGATGTGGGGCTGCTGCCATCCACTTCTGGGATGTCCGCTCCCTTTCCGCTCCCTTAATACATTTCTCTGCCTGACTACAAATGAGTTGCAAACAAAAGCCAGGTTTCGCTTTATAGTACCATGCTGACAACGGCCAAAGACAAAACAAAACTGCCGTTTTCAAGATTGGTTGTGCAAGTCTTGTGTGAAAAAAATTAAGTAAGATTGACGAGACCCACTTTTTGGAGGAAAAGTGATACCTTTGCAAAAGAAGCACCTTGTAACGCTCAGAAACTGTTCATTCGTTTTCAAAGCAAGGGTGAAATAGACTTCCCTTCGGGCTACTTAAAGAAAAAGTCTCTAGTCATTCCACAATCTGATTGTGACTAAAAAAGAAATCAACAAAGAATAGTTCTTCCTTTTCTTTATCTTCAACTGGGGAAGGTTTACCAAACTTAGATACACAGTTTGAGGCACTGAAGTCCTCATCAACCAGTTCCACCTCTCACAAACAGGGGAGCTGAGGACAAGGGAAGGGAATGACCCACCCAAGGTCACACAGGTAGGACAGAGATAGACCTATGCCTAGAAGTTGGGCTCCAGGCTTCCGACTGCCACTCACGCCACCTCTCCTCGGCAAAGCAGGCTCTGAAAGTCTGTTGGCCAAAGCGAGGCAACGCAGAATGGGCCGGTGGCCTGGCCTGTCAGCTCTGCCTCTGCAGGGGAGGAGGCGCTCAGTGGGAGGTGAGGGAATGGCAGCATATCCAAGAGCGCTCTGAACACTAACAGGTTTTATTTCCTCAGCTTGACAATATTTGCTTTGGCTCAGTCTGGCCAGTTGCAGGGATATATCTGGACAAACCCAAACACAACAACCTTTTCTTTTTCATCAACTCAGTGGGGAACAATACTGGATAAACAGAGACCTTTTGAGGCATAAGGCAAGAAAAATGGACTGACAGAGATGATTCTTTGGGGAGAATGAGAGCTGATGTCTGTAATGTATGCCATGGTGGCAGAGAATTTAGCACTAAAGCTGACTTGGACCAGTGCCTAGATAAAGGGTTTCAATATACTTCTTCCCAGACAAATTCATGTGGATGTTAGAAGCGTGTTAGAGCAGTTTTCTTCCTGCCCTGCTGCTACGTCATCATGTGACTTTAAGACTTCCCAATGCCATCCCATTGCTCTCACCCTTGTACCAATATAACTACTAATAGCGTTTAGGGTTTCTTGCATGGCTTTTCCCTCAAGGGTCTAAAAGGAAAGTTGAGGAGTTCTCTGTGGACCTACGACTGTGGGCTAACCACTGCTGAATACACAGCTTGAAAGCGGCTTAGGGACAAAGCAAGCCTCATTCACCTCTGCACCCCTGGCACCAAGCACAGGGCTTGGAACGCACGGATACTTCATACATGGCAAATGGATACATGCTGAGTTGTTATCTGCAAATCACGTATTTCATTTCTACAATAGTTCACCTTATACATTTTATGCATCTGGTGTCATAGGAGGGTAGGACAGTTTTCATCAAGCTATCATTTTTTAAATCTTTCTCACTAATAAGCTATTTTAAAATGTCAGTTTAGTTTTACAGTTGTTTTGGCCCAATTTAAAAAAAAAAAAACAGAAAGAGAAAAACAAAAAGTCCCAGTAGAACTCTGCTAGTTACAACCCATGAATTCTGGAAATAGTTGCTTAGGGCTCGGCCAGGAGGCCAACCGGTCAAGCTGTGTCTCGGAGAGATCCACCACACTCTCCGTCTTTACGCTGACTAACAAACACTTGCAGGGAACGGATATTGAGCTTGAAACACTACCTTGCCATTGTCTAGGATATACTTGTCCATGACAGGTGCAGGAGCAGGGTAATAGGACGACGTATTTGCTTCCTCACTGAAAGTGCTCCGTAACTCCGGTTCGGGCTCGAGACATTCTGACTTTACTTTTTCCAAGTCAATGGCGGGACCTAGGCAGTTAAGAAAAGAGATCTGTCTAGAACTCCAAGGAAAATAAAATGCAAATATTTTTTAACTATGCATCTATCAGCACATAGCGGCACACACAAAAAATATGCTGCCTCATTTTTGTCCATCGGACTCCACTTATACCCGGGCTTGAAAATAATGTGAGGTGTGAATGTTATGAGTGAAACGCTGGAAAACTGGAAGACAAGGATGGACTAGACTCTAATTACATACGAATGAGAAGCACTCTTCTAGGGGGTTGATGCCTAGAATGGAAATGCAGGGGACTAAGCTTCCTGCACAGAAAAGAGGTCCTGTGAAGACTGGGGGAGAAGGGGTGCAATTACTGCAATATGCAGATTGTGTACTTGCCCAAACCCCCATCTCTTCCGCCTACCGAGGATCAGGCCACAGCGGAAAAACAGAGGTTAGGCAAAAGCAATGGGGGGAAACACTAAGGCCTCCCCCTCCCCAAGACCTAGCATCTAGACAGGAGCATTTCAACTAAGAAATTAAAATACAATACAGAGTAGGCCCCTGATTGCCTGATCCAGCAGCTACCCTGATTTTTATTTTAATGCAATCAACACAAATTATGTGCAGATTAAACAGTGAAAGGAAGCTAGATAAATGGTGGTGGTTTTTATGGGGGATATTTTTTCCTCCATTAGCTTGTAAAACTGATGGACTATTTTTTAAATCACCTATTGTGTCTTGATTACCAAAGGGCAGAGAAACAGGATGAAAATGAGTAAATAAGGCTGAATGATTTGATTAACTTTTGCAGGAGAGCAGCTCCAAAGGCCAACAGAGTTTAGCATCCTGAAAAGTCTCCCTATGCCAAATGTTTCAGGAGGTGACTGGGGTCAGAGGTTTAGCTACTGCCATAGCAGGTCCCCGTGGCTGGGCATAAATCTTAAGTCACTGATGAATTCCATGCTCCAAACTTCTCTTACCCCAACCATGTGGACAACTTGGTACAGAGCTCTTTATATACTAAAGACCTGACCCACAATCTGATTGCAATTCTATATTCAGTTACCACGTCCTAGACTTTGGCTGGTGGTAGGGAAGGAGTTGGTGATTTTGTTACTAAAATTCCTCATGACAGGGCTTCCCAGAATGAGAATATCATTCCTGAGTTGCCGGCAGCTGCCATCTGCAAGACAGAATCTCTGTAGCCTCCACGGTTTAAGCATGAGCCTTGCACAAAGCTGAATGCAAGATGGCTGGGGAGCAGAGCAGTACAGATGAAAAAGAATGGCTAGTCTTGGTAGAGTGAGTTTAGATCCCGGAACTGCCAGTTCTGCTCTGTTTTAATTGTGCATCTGCAGGTGAGTGGATTGTAGACGCAGAAGCTGGCCGACTGAAGGGCTGGCAGCATCGTAATTGTCCTGCTAACATCTCCCAGCAGTGCACTACCACTACCTATTCAAGGGCTGGGCCTGGATCTGATTCTTCTCATTGCCCCCCAGCGTCTGGCAGTGGGTAGGTGCTCTCTGAATGTTTGCTAAATGAGAAAAAGAATGACAACAATGAATGAATAATTCTAAAGTTTCAGAAGCAGATGCCAAAGTTTTTCCTCTCTCTGCGTGAAATCTCAGGTTGAATTTCTGTGATACAAACACACTCAAGTGGAGCGTTTGATCTTTTCTTAGATCAGGGAAGTAATTACTTCGGTTTCCCCTAAAGGGCATGGCTTAGCTGGCCTCCGAGACCCCTTCCTGCTCTAACATTCAGCTACAGGAAAGGGGAGGCGGTCCATGCAGCCAGTGGCTCACAGGTCATCTTTGGCAAGATCATGTCCTTTCTCTAAAGCCTCCTTTGCCTTCTGTGAGAGGACGCTGTGGGACAAGAGAAGGAATCCAGTGCAGCTTTGACTTCAGCCTGGTTCTCCCCCATCCATCTGCACAATGGCTGCCAAGGAGATCTTCACACGACTGTGTCCCTCCTTGTTAGGCGCCCCATTATGCTCAAAATTAAGTCGCATACCATAGCCCCCCAAAGGCTCAGAACCACCAGCCTCCTCTCTACATCTGGAGCTCACTTGTTGCTTTCCCCCGCAGCTTTGCTCAGGTCCCCCACAGGCTGTGTCCCAGGCTTCTGTGCCTTTGGATATACTAGTCTTGGCCTTGGACGCCACCTCATCTGCCTGGTCAGGTTTCCGAGCGAAGCACAGGTGACTCCTTTGTGAAGCCAGGCTCTTATCACTACCAGATAGGAAGTCTCTGCATTGTAAAAACTTCCAGAAAATCATGTGTGCAGTCATCTGCCCATCTGTCTGCTGTCCACATTAGGCTGTGAAGCCCTTCAACAGCCAAGTTTCTGTCTCTTTGCAATCTTGGCACCTAGGACAGTGCCTGGCACATTGCAGGCTCTCAGGAAAGTCATCATGACATGAGAGGGGTGAGAAAGGCACGGGGGAGGGAGGCACTTCAATGGGCTGTGGCAGAGATTCTGAAGTAAGGCCTGCTGCTGACTTGAGGTGCTTGGGGGCCGAGGTAGGTTGGGTGGGAAACTTTTCTCAAATGTCTGTAAAGCCTTTCTGCAGCCTTGCATGTAGAAACAACAGTTGTTAAATAGAAATTGGAAACATCTAGTCAGGAGAACAGACAATTTAGATAGCTATGCAGGGACATCTAAGGAGCATCAGAAGGAGCAGGGCCCCACCCCCTGCCTGGCCCGTCCTCACAGTCAGACTCCATTCCGGAAGTGACCTGCCCAGCCCTCTCCACACATACACACACCTGTCCTTCCTGTTTCCCAGACTTTCCTTGTGCCATTCCCTGTGTCCAGATCATTCTAGCTCCAGTGATGTCCACCTATCCAAACTCCACCAGGGATTCAAGGACTCTAATGCCACCTCCTCCACGAGGTTGCCCCCATCCCTTCCAATGGAAGTAATTCTTTCTACCCTTTGGCTTGGAATTTGGAGTTGGAGAGGCTAGAGTTTAAATTCTGGCTTTGCCATTTGCTGTTGAGGTGAGTTGTGAGCTTCCTCAGGTAGCTGAGCTCTGTCCTGCCTACTACCCCTACCCCATAATAATCAGATGCACTCATTTGTTTCTATGCCTGTCTCTCCCACTGACGGTGAGGTCTGAGGGCAGGCAGGGACTGTGTCTTTTCAGGTCAGAGTCCAGGGCTCAGAACAGCGCCTGGTTCAAATTCTCTCCTCAGCAGGTAGTTTACACATCAATAATTACTTAACCTCTCTGACCCTGCTGCCTTGCCTGAGAGGAGGAATGACAACAGCAACCTGGCAAGACTGGAGATTAAATGAGTTAACCACACATATGAAATGATTAATCCAGAATCGGGCAGAGCGGCTGCTCAGTAAATAGTGGCTCGCCTCCCCCCCTCCCCCCCGCAGCTCCCACACACGTCTCATACTGGGGGCTCACGTTAGTCCGCCCGTGCGCCGCGGCTTCCGTGAGCAGGGGCCCTGCAGGCCTTCTTTTGCCCCAGGTGCCTCAGCACAGGCCGGGCCCGGAGCAGGTCCTCACACTCCACGGCACCCATGCCCCACTGTGCTCATGCTGGTCTCTTCAGGGGCTGACGCAGGTTGGCCCAGTTCTCAGGCTATTGCAGTGGGACCTCCTGGCTCTCAAGGAAAACTACTCCTAACGCTTGTGGCTACTGCTGTCTGACACCAGGTGGCTGCCCAGTGTTAAACAACAACTGCCTCCTTCTCCGGCATTGTATTGGATTGTCGGGAAAGCCATGACGCATTTTTGCAACGAAAACCAGAAAAAATACGTCATGACTTTTCCAGCAACCCAATATATAGACGGCGACAGGTGCCTCAGACCCAGCAGGGCAGGCAGACCAGCCAAAGGCGCCTCTTGGAAGGAGCTCATGTGTGAAGCCCAGCTGCATGGCCTTAGACAAGCCACCTTGCTGCTCTGGGCCTCGGCGTTCCTACCTGCAGAATGGGGATTCCCAAAAGCTATCATGCAAGCTGATCGTGCGTCTGGAAGAGCCTAGCATGGAGGCAGGTATGGAACAGGAGTTCAGACAGGGATCAGAAATGGCAGATGAATGTAGGAATGAGTCAGTCAGAAAAGCGGAGTGTTTAGTATTACAGAATCAGAAAGAAAAGGAACAAAAAGGCATGTGGTTTCTTTGGGGGGAAGGAGGGAGGGCCTCTAGTGCTTTCAATTTAAGATGGGGGGGGGGGAACACTTCATTGCAAATTTTAGTCAGCTGTATTACTGATGTTGATAATTTACATCTCATTACAACAAACGCTTCAGATTGCTGTTTTGCTTTTAAAAATTTCTGAGGCATTGTTCTCCTTCAAACACATGTGACCAAATTAGCCACAATAATAGGCACTTGCACTAAGAGACAGCACTGTAAGATCTGGCACAGATATTTTAAGTAACAAAGGAACTTTTTTCACTTTAGGGGAGGAGTAGGAATAATAATAATAATAATAATAATAATAATAATAATAATAATAATAGCCTTTTGATCCACTTCAGGTTTATTTTGGGGAAAATATAGCTTCCAAGGAGAGAAACCTTTCAGCTGGGTGAAGGGAGTGTTTTAAAAAAGTATAAAAGGCGGCGCCCATCTTTTCACTCAGTCATTCATGAGCCCAGTCATCACACAGTCCCTGACTCTGACTGACACCAAGATCTGGGGCCCTGTAAGAGGCACTGGGGACCCAGAGACAAATAAGACATGTCCCAGTTTGGGAGAAGATGTGAATTTAACATGTGACATGCTATCGCAGTGCATACAGATAGCTGTGATTTGATAGACAAGCACTGGGTTTAGTGTTAGAAAACATGGTACAAATCCTGGCTCTGTTATTTACCTTATGTCTTTAAGCCACAGCGGCTTCTTCCATAAAATGGGAAGTGTGGCAGAGAGTCAGGGGCTTGGTACATGTCTGTGGGCACAACAAATAGATGAAATTATACCTTTCTTTGTTCTTGTTTGTCTTCAATTGGACCAATGCTATTCTTTCCGAAAACCTTTCTAAAAAGCTAATGCTTGTGTTACTTCCAGGGGGTTCAGAAATCAAAGTATATACACATTTGGACACTAAATACCATTTCTGATTTTTGTTGAAATAGAAAAGCTAGTAACATTAGATTTTTCTAGAGAAGCACTAACCCATGCCATTTACTTCTGGAAGTGAACAGGAAGTTTCTCTGCTATAGGTATAAGTCTAGTTTCCACATAGATACAAAGTGAATCAGGCCACAATTCTTAAACGCACACAGAACACCTGCTGTGCTACAGACGCACACCGGGGTTGGCAGAAAAAGAGATGATTCCACGTTGTTGGAAAGCAACCGCACATGGGACCAGCTGTGTAACAATGGAGGAGGGACACGAAGGCCTTAGAAAGAGACAGGGAGATGGCCCAGAGCTGGGCAGATGGATGCCCTCGAGGAGCCCCTTCATCCCCTCTCAAAAGGTATCGGCACTCTCACCTGCTGCTGTAGCTACACATCTGTTTCTTAGTCCCATTATACTTCCAGTGGGGGTGGGGGCAAATCTGGCCTCCTTCCTTCAGTGAGAAACTATTGGGTTGTCAGAAAAGTCATGACGTATTTTGTCTGTTTTTTCAAAGGTCATTTATTTATATAAAGAACAAAGATTAATCAACGATATATTGACCGTTTTGTTCGATAACCTTTTGCCATCTTTCAGTGAGCTTCATAATTCCTTGTTCATAGAAGGACCTGTCTTAATTGGCAAAAAACTGAACAAGGTGCTGATTTACAGCCTCATCTGAGTTTAACGTTATACCATGCAAGGAGTTTTGAAGAGAGCAAAACAAGTGGGAGTCTGAAGGCACAAGGTCAGGCAAGTATGGTGGGTGTGGCAACACATCCCATTCAAGCTCCAATAATTTTTGACGGTTGATCAAACTTGTGTGTGATCTTGCATTGTTGCGATTGAACACAACTCCTTTACACTTAACAAGCTCTGGACGTTTCTGGATGATGGATTCATTCAAACTGTCCAATTGCCAACAGTACACATTTGAATTGAATGTTTGGTTCCTTGGTAGGAGCTCGAAAAACACAACACCTTTAAAATCCCACCACACTGAGAGCATAACCTTCCTCTGATGAATGTCTGCTTTTGATGTCGTTTGAGGCAAATCATCACGTTAGGACCAAGACCGTTTGCACACCACATTGTTGTAAACAATCCACTTCTCATCACCAGTTATCAGTTGCTTCAAAAAAGGATCGTCTCCCTCACGTTTAATGAGCATATTGCAGATGTTTATATGCACCGTCAAATGTACTTTGAGTTCATGTGGAACCCAAATATCGAGCTTGATTACGTATCCCAACTTCTTCAGGTGGTTGTGAATGCTTGAATGATGGATGCTCAATGTTTCTGCAATCTCTCGTGTTGTGCAATGTGGGTTTGACTTGATCAATGCTTTTATTTTGTTGTCATCAACCTCAGTGGGCCTCCGTGACTGAGAAGTGTCGTTGAAATCAAAATCACCAGCACGGAATTTCGTGAACCATCATTGGCACTGACATTCTTGTAGAGCACTGTCACCGTAAACTTCATGTAACTTTTCACAAGCTTGACAGGTGTTCTTCCCTTTATGGAAGTAAAACAGTAAAATATGGCAAAAATGCACAGCTTGGTCTTCCATCTTCAATTTGTTATAAAATCTCCAAAATTCAGCCAAATCGCTCAAGTTTTTTTTTAGAATGAAGCCAGAACCGTCAGTTGTCAAATGACATAGCAATAACATAGATGCGAATGACTCCAGTACTTCCAAAAATGAACTAGTGTCATCGGTCGCAAACGTGTCATGACTTTTCTGACAACCCAGTAGTAAGTGCTAGTCGTGGGCTAGGAGGCCTTGATTCGCAGTCCAGCAGTGGAAAGAGACAGGCAGCCGATCAGTCATCACCACCCAGTGTTGCTGACAAGGGTTAGGATATGGACTTGGGAACAGAAGCCAAGGAGGGGGTGCTACACCTGGAGGAGACTAGGAAGTCTTCAGAAGGATGGCCCCAAACTTCTATGCTGGGGCTTGGAAGATGGATGGGGTGGGGCAGTCATCTTCATACTGTAGGCCAGTGGCACATAATCGAGGCTAACTGACTGAGCAGGCAGTGGGCAGCGTGATGATCTGCACAGGTCTGGGTTGGAAGAGATCATCGCTGGCTCAGTGATCCTGGGAGGCTTCAGGGAAGAGGTGCGCTCTGGCTGGGGCTTTGATGAGTAAGTAGGGTCTGGGGAAGGTGGGGGCTGTCAGGCAGGAGGATGGGATCACAGGAAGCAGTGGCTCTTTAGGACCCCTCCCCTCCCTCTCCATTTTCGGAGTGCCTTCTGCGAGTGAGGGCTAGAGCTAGCGTAGGCTTTGCTGAGCAGAGGCAGACGCAGTTCTAGCCTGAGGTCCTGGGCCTGGCGAGATCCCTGCAACTCATGTGGATGCCCCCACGGGGGGGCAGTCCCTCAGGAAGTCAGAACCACAGAGCTGCAGAGCTGGAAGGGATCTGAGAGAGGCCCCTCACCATGGGGGAGAAACCCAGTAAGAAAGGGGTGGCAGAAGTGGGCTCACGTCCCCAGTCACGGAGGTCAAGGTGTCCTCCCTACTTTGAGGAATTACAGCTGCCCATTTCAAATGACATATATGCTTTTCCCGGAGAAGGAGATATGACCGACACTGAATGTCTTCTTTCCTCAGTACATTACATCAAAATATTGTTTATCTTTGTAACACTTTTCACCCCACTGTCTAGTGCTCATTTGTTTAACCTCCCCTGGCTGGAATGGAAACTCCAAGGACAGCCATAGCCTTGTTCACTGCTCTATCCCCGGCACACATCAGCACTCCCGAGTTGAATGAAAGAAGTTAATCCTCAGGGCAGCCTGCCAAATAGATCATATTATCTCTGTAGAGGCTCAGAGAGGTAAAGCAATTTGTTGAGAAGGTCACACAGGTGGTGAGTGCTCAAAGTCAGGGTCATAAGAGTCCAAAGACTTGTTCTTCCCACTACCCTACACTCCTCGGCTAACTGCAGGGCTGTGCTCTCACGGGCTTCTCACATAATGCCGCTCTGTGGGGGCCTCCCTGCCCTTCCCAGGGAGTCTGTGGAGAACTCTACAGTTGGCAGAGGGCAGTGAGGAGGACGGAGCATCACTAGGACTCATCTCACCTCGAGGAGGTGAGCCTGTTCTCTGCCAGCTGGTGGCCACACAGAACTGGGCTGGTTCTTCATCTGTGGTACTTTTACCTCCCTCCCTGCCCATCGATCTGGGTCCAGGCAGCATCCAAAGGGCAGGGATATGCAGAACAGCATGGTCTGCCCTGCCAGAGAAGCCATCAAAGCCTGCACACGCGCTGAGTGGATGTGAAATGGCCTTTGGTCCCGGACCAGAACTGGCTGGGCTGGGAGGCTGACGGGTTCCGGTGGGAGAAAGTGAAGTGGACGGCACAGGGCTGCACAGGGGCTTCTGTGAGGCACCGTGAGCACCTGAGGGCAGGAGCGATGGAGAGGCAGAGTTCCATCATGCGGCTCAATCATTTAAAACAAACAAAAACTGTATTACATACCTTATCCAGGCCCACTGAATCGAAACCTGCATTTCTACATCTCCAGAAGATGTCAATGCGTCTCCCAACCAAATCAACCTGTGACCCTGGCCTTGCCCCATCTCCCCTTCAGGCCATGAGCCCTTCCAGAGCAGAGACCATTGGGATTCATCTTTGATCAGTGGTGTTTGATTGATTTGCCTGGTTCCGGGGAAACGGCAATGCAGAGGTTGAAGGGCCAGGCCCCAGGTCACTCCAGTGGGGAGGAGCCCGGTGTGTCACCTGCAGGAGGGGCTGGTTCAGCTTCTAGCAGCTCTCGCCTACCTCTGCTGCCTCGGCGCGCCCTCCTGCCTACCTCTTCACTCTGAAGTCAGGCCAGAAACTGCTTGGGAATAAGCCAGCCTCTCTCACAATGTCAAATCTCTGTTCAGGTTCTCCTGTTGTCACTTCCTCTTCATTTGGATAAATCTAAGTTGTTCCTTATTTGGTGACCCTCTGCACTCCCAGCACGCCTGCCCCGTAAGGAGCCGTTCTCTAGATCCTCTCCCAACACCCTGAGAGCCGAGGAGCGCAGCGAGGCTCACACGGCCCGACTGTGAGCTGATGACACTGTGGCTTCCTTAAGGCAGGAAGTCTTAGCTACCTGATTCCCCTGTGCCCAGCGCAGGGTCTGGAACACTGGAAGAGTCTGGTAAGTGTTCCTGCACAAAAGCATTTCCCTACAGCCAGAGCCACCCAGTAACGGAATGGGCTGCACTGGAAGGCAGCCAGGGACCCTCCTGTCTCTAGGGGAATATTCCAGGGGGCTCAGTGACCACTTGGCAGGGAGGCTACAGAAGGCTTCCTGTCCTGTGTAGGAGGCTGGACTAGGTGAACTCTGGGGCTCCTTATTGGACTAAGGTGCGGGGATCCTATGAATTACCTGCAACCAAACTCAGAGAACCACCTGGCACAGCAAAGGAGGATGTGGCCAGCCTCTGGGCCTTGCTGATGGCTAGACTGGTTCCATCCGCCCACCTGGGCTGAACATTAACCTTCCCAGCTTCATGATGATGAATTCGTTCAGATTCCACATGGCATAGGCATGTTCTAGTTCCTCTCTGGTCCTCAGTGCTTCCCTCTGTAAGATGAGGGTGAGAGGTGGGATTGGGTTCTCTTTAAAGAGCTCATTTCTGTAGAACTCTAGGAATTTTCTGGTTGGCCTCTTGAAGCCATACAGTTTGTCAAGGCTAAAACTATGAAGAGATGGTGGGCTCTTAAATTAGGCGGGAAACATCTCACCCAATAGCTCCAGGGTCTGGCAGTCCCAGAACCCACTGCAGGTCATAAAGGAGTTCTAATCAGGAGGGCAGGCAGGAGACGCGGCCACTCAGAGGAACAGGAGCTGAGAGCCTGTGTGCTCAGCCTGCCTGAAGCACGGAAAAGCGAGCTACTTCCTGGCTGTGCGGCCTCAGGCAAGATACAATACTTAATCTCTGAGCCTGCTTCCTCATCTGATGACACTGTCTACTGTAAGGTTGTTGTAGGCATGAAAATCATCTACCCTCAGGCCCAAAGCAGGTGTTCAGAGAGGCCAGACCCTGCCCGTAAGGAACCCTTTTTGCACCTTCCCCACTTCCATTCCTCTGACTGGCAAAGCCAGCAGAAAACAAGCCTGTCCCATGGCCACACCTGAGTCAAAGATACGTTCCTATAGGAAGCAGGCACATTCCTAGCCTGGCATTGGAGAAAAGCCCAGCAACTCCTGTGTGTTCTGGCGGCCGGAGCAGGTAGCAAAGGGATGGCCCGGGCTTGTGCCTCGGCCCCATCCCATCGCCCCAAAAAATGAACTCCAGCGAGAAAGAGGAAGGGGGGTCGTGGACTGTCCGGCCACTCCGAAATCAGCTCTTAAAACAATCTAGGATGAACTGTGCCTAATTCTGACTCAGCCAACAGGGCAGTAAATCCTTCAAAGTGGAAGACGACCCTTATGTCTAAGAGGAACAATTCCAGTTCTCACTGTTAGATCTTTTCATGCCTAGGATCCAAGTTAAGAAGGCGCAGTGATTTTGGCCCTGTTCCACCTCTAACTGAGGCGGCTGGCAGGTTGTGGACCCCCTGGGCCTCCACTCTGAAACGGGGATATGAAAACCTGACCCGACAGGATGTCTCTCGCCCATCCTTTTCAGCGCTCTCTCAACGCTCAACCCTCGTGAGCGCTCCTGCTTACTGGTGAGAATGAACTGAAGGCTGAAGGAGATGGAAAAGAGCTCTGAGATAAACAGGCCCCAGGAGAAGAGGCCTGGCAAAGAGGAAACTGAGCCATAACCAGTGATGTCTGAAGAATCGAGGGGGTCAAAAGAAATGGCCCAGGACTGGAGCTGGGAAGATGGAATTCTGCCCAGGAAAGTGGGTGGGGGGAGAAATCTATAAACTACAGACCGCTGAGCTTGAAATCAAGTCCAGGCATAGTTATAAAATGGACTATTCAAATGCGATTTCTGAGAACTTACAAAGGGAAGCGGCAATCTCCAGGAGACACAGGGTTTGACCAAAGACTACGATACGCCAGGCAGCCACGTCTGTACTTTCCTATAGGACAACGGGAGTTGGTGAGGCCGAGCATCGTCCACACATCATCTCATGTGCATCCTCAAATCATCCTACATCACAGATGCTGGGCCCACTGAGCACTTACTACGTGTCAGCCTCTGGGCAGAGGCGTTTACGTGCATTTGCTCACTTAATCCTAAGAACCAGAACAGTTGGTACTGCCATTGATTCTGCTTTACGGGTGAGGAAATGACGGCCCAGGAAGTTAAGTAACTTGCCCAAAGTAACAAGATTAGCCTGTGGAAATGCCAGGGTTCAAAACCCCAGTATTTCTGACCCCAGGGTCCATGCAGGTTCTTAATCACAGGGCTGATTTCTCCTGCCTATAACAGGGTAGGCATGAAGATACCCACTTTACAGAGCAGAAAGCAGAGGCTGAGAAGGGTTAAGTCATGAGCTTGAAGTTGCACAGGCAATGAATTAAAGAGCTGAGATTCAAACCCAAGTAATACCTGTTGCCAAAGCCCAGCCGCCTCCAGTACAGGGAAAGCCAGCAGGAAGCACTTGGCCGATACTAGCTGGCTTTTCAAAGGCACCCTCAGAGACCTGTGCTTATAGAATCCAGCTTAGACGGCAAAGGATTTTAAAGATCAAAGCTTATATTTTCACAGACCTTGGACCAAACACAAGGCAGGAGCCCAGAGGGGAACAGCAGCGAGAGGAACCCAGCTCTGAAGAGCCAAGACAGGTTTGCACGCCACAGTGGCTTTCTCCTTCTTCACCAATTCCAGCCAGCTTGCGACCTGGCCACCAGGGAAGTTCTCTCTTCTTTTTGCATTCTCCTCTCGCAAATGGAGATAATAGTTTATACCTGGCCTCACAATAAGGTTATCAGGAATAGTCCAATGGGATGAAATGTCAAGGTGCTCTGAAATCTGTCCAGTACCATGCACGTGTGAATTACTGTTATTATTCTAATTATCTATACCTCTTCTGGTCAGAACTGATCACTCTACCTACATCCCCTGACCAAGCACACATAAAATCTAAAACCATCACACGCCACTTGTTTTGTTCTGCCGGGTGTCCTGTTGTGGGCACGTCTACACTCCCCATCGGACTGTCCGTGCATCTTGAAAGCGGGCATTACCTCTTCTCCCCGCCATACTTCTCACACAGCCCTCTGGAGCCTTGGTTGAACTAACATTGCCTGAACACACTGATATGAATTTAACTACCTAAAAGGTACTTACAGTGCTAAAACCCGAAAAGTATGTCTAAGGCTTGGCCTTTGACCTCTAAGAATAAGGAATCTAAACTGAGGAGAAACCGAGAGAGACCTTGGAATTGACTCCTTCGCATACACCCGAGCTCACCCTGGGAACAGGCTCCCCACTGTTCTGCGTTCCCTCACACCCTTAGAATTCTCCGAGTCTGCCAAGCCCCCGTTTCATAAACACTCCTCTACCCCCGTAATGGGGAGTATTTTAAAAAGGGACTGTCTTGTTCGTTTCTATATTCCTGCACGTAGCAGTCCTGGCACAAAGCATACCCCCGATAAATGTCTGCTGAATGAAGAAAAGGGTATGTACACAAAGGAATCTGTATTTTATAAAGTATCTCCATGCTTTTTGCATCCCCACCACTTACTTCTTTGGGCCGTGTGCAGGAAAAGAAAGAAAAAAGGAACTCACATTTATTGAACGCTTACAATATGCTGGTCACAGGACTAGACCACAGGCCCCCCTTCTCCATGGGGACACGTTCCAAGCCCCCCGGTGGATGCCTGAAGCCACAGATAATACCAAATCCTCGATATACTGTTTCCTCTATGCATACGCACCGTTTCACTTAAAGGAAGGACTTTACAGCTACTCTGTGGCATATCCGAATTGCCAGCATCAGTAACTCTTGCACTATGGGGCCATTGTCAAGAAAAATAAAGGTTACTTGAACCAAGCACTGTGACACCGCAACAGTTGGTGTGCTAACCGAGATGGCTACGAAGTGACTAACGGGTAGGGGGTGTGTGCAGTGTGGACCCACTGGACGAAGGGATGAGTCACATCCAAGGTGGGACGGAACCGGACAACATGAGGTTTTATCAGGCTACTCAGAATGGCATGCAATTTAAAACATATGAATTGTCTATTTCTGAAATTTTCCATTTAATATTTTCGGACTTCAGCTGACTGTGGGTAAGTAAAACCTAAGAAAGCAAAACTGTGAATAAGCGGGGACTACTATACAGTATATGCTTCCTCATTTAATTTTGACACTGTCACAGGAGTCCCAAAAGAAGGGACCCTTAGGGTAGGGGAGGGAGGTTCCTTCCCATCAGAGAGGGTTGATTTCCATGCAAAGATCATAGAAAAGGCAAATTCTGTTTTACAGAGAGATAGCCTTTGAGGGGGGTGGGTGGGCAGAGGTGTCACCTCCATGTCAGTGACAATGATGTCCCAAGAACCAAAAAAGGCCAGTGAGATGAAGGCTCAGAGAAAGGACATAGGACAAGGTGTCAGGAGACATCTGGGGATAGGACCCATGACATTTTCTGGGCTCGTTTCCTCATCAACAACACCAGGGCAACAGCCTATATCCTAAGTTCTTCCACAACTCCATAACGCCATATCCTAGAGAATCTTTTCCTGTTAAATCATCTTGTGTTTATTTGTGGAATGAATGAAGGAAGAATGCACAAATGCAAAAGTGAGTCATCAGTGACGTCTCTGAAACATCTGATAACACCTTGCTGCTAACCCTCACCCTCTACCGTCAACCTCTATCAGGTACACGATTATAACTCCTAGCTGCTGGGGGACCTGCGGGCCACTCTGAGGTCCTCATTAGGCTCAAGAGGCCAGGCTCCAGCTCTCTTCCCCCTCCCATTCACCACCTGCAGGACCCCAATTCCTAGGAGAGTCAGCAGTGGTTCTTCCCAGTGGGGAAACTTCCTTTTAACACTGAGCATCTCCTGACCTGTTGGCCTGCCCTGACTCTGAATTTGCCTGTTATGGTGTGACTGGGTCAGCAGCCAAGCTGGACAAAGGCCCTTGAGCTGGGTCCCTGGGCAAGGTGGACACATAAAAATATGCAAGAACAATGCTGAAGCCAGGCCCAGGGGGCTGAGGATGGTCCAGCCCAGGCCACACATTAACCCCAGGCCAGGATGTGCTCCTTAGAGGGCACACGGAGCCGAGAATCAGAGGGTCTCTCGGTCACTTTCTGGCTGTTCTTTCCCTTCAGTTTTCTCGGTGTATGTATGGACTAGGAGCTATTACGACAGACTTACCAAGACAGAGTTCCACTTCAAATGCTGGCTCCTCCCCCAGAATTTTAATTATATGCTTATAGGTTTATCTCCATCACTCCCCACTCCCCAACTACCAATTTCTTAGTCTTCTTTGTATCTCACCAAGTTCCTAGCCCCAGAAGCATATGGTCAACGTTAGCTGGCCGATGGAACATACATGTATAAACCCTTTCTGTCTTCTAGAAAAGAAGACCCTGAGAGGCAGAGAAGTCAGTTAACCCATCCAAGGTCATACTGCCAATTACTGGTCAGGGGAGCCAGAGCTAAAAACCAGACTGAACTCTGTCTTAGCCCCTGCACTGCATGCTGTGGAAAAGGAGCTGACAGGAACGGAGCATCGACAGAAGGCCGGCACTGTGCAGTGTGGCACAGGCTGAGTGGGGCATGGTTTCCGTTTCATAGATGAGAACACCGAGCCTCAGAGAAGCATTCTCTGCCTAGACTGTGCCTCACACTTCCCACCCACCCACCCTGGATAACACAAATTATCCTTCAGGCCCCGGCTCAGAAGTCATTTCCTTCAGGAAACCTTTCTTCCCTGATCCCCTATATTCAGTGGGTGCCCCTCCTCTGCTGTCCTACAGCCTGGAGCGCTTCTGTCGCTGTGGTGGCGTTGATGTACTGCACCATCACTGACTGGGTCAGTGGCTGTCTCCCTCATTAAACTTAGGGTTCCTCAAGGGCAGAGGGCAAGGGCTGTATCTTAAACAAACTGAAATCTTACCACCAGGCAAAATGTCTGGTGGCACAGTGCAGGAGACCAGAAATATCTGTGGAAAAGAAAAGCAGGGAAGGAAGCCAAGAAGAGAGAAAGAGAAGAAAGAAGCTTCCCAAAGTGACAGAATTGGGCAGTGGGGCGGTTGGGATGCGAATCAAGCCTGCTTCCAGAGACTCGGCTGGACTAGACTAGATGCATGAGAAGAACCGACCAACCCTTTAGGGTAGAGAGAGACCTCTGTATTATACTCCTATGGATTCATCGTAGAACTTGGCACATTATTCCTCTCCCGTGAACAAGTGCTAACCAATGGACTTGAAGCCTTCGCAGGTCAGGACAGGGAGGGTGATTTTCTGGGGTGCCTGTGGCGCCCACAGCACAGGGTGCGGCACACAGTGGGTGTCACATGCACACTTGTGGTCTGGGCTGATTTCTGCTCAGTGCATCCCACTGTGATGACAACTGTGACTCAGATCAGGGAGGAGCCAGCCGCTGGCCCTCATGTGGCATTTAAGGCCTGTGAGATGGGAGAGACTGGGCAGGTCAAGACAGAAAACTGTGATCAGGGTCAAGTCTGTCTAACTGTTTTAAGACCAAAGAGGAACATACTGATGTAAAGTGTCTTATTGCCCCAGAGGTTTGGGAATGGTTTCGGGGTTTAAGCTAAGTTCAAAATCATGTAAAACAGGCAGCTTCCCTGGGAGTCGAAATAACGATGTGGAGGGTTTGTGTTGTTCCTGTGCTTTTCCCCCCAAGAAGTTTGCAAAAGGCATAGCATACAGAGTGGGATGAGAAATGTAAGTTGTCTATCTGAAGACCAGCACACATTTTTTTTTTTTCCTCTGAAAACTCCAGTTCTCGCATCACTCCCACCCCCACTCAAAAACCAACCCAGCTTTTGCAAATTTTTAGTTAGGGTTTCTCTTTGCTATTTTTATTTTGACAGAGAACTTTAATAACTTTTTAAGTTGCACACCTCATGTGACCTTTAGAGTCACTATGCACCTCTATAGGCTGTGATTTGGGAGAATGGCCAAGGGCGAGGCAGCGTCGGGGAGTGAGGCAACTACCGGCCTAGGAGTCAGGAGACGTGGTTTGAGATGAGCTCTGCCTTCGCCTCTGCCTCCCCCGGTGACTCCCCCAGTGCCTCTGGGCAAGTCCCAACCTCAGCTTGCTTCTCTGTGACAAAAGCATGAAAAGGCCTCTCAGCTGACTCCCTGGGCCGTCCTGTAGGTCTACTGAGATACTGCCTTGGGGACATGGTTTAAGAAGTAAAGGGCACCTACAAATATAAGTAAGGTAGTGTAATAGCACATTTATCTAAACTTTAAAGAGGAAGGAGGCTTTACATATAAATCTGTGACCCAGATAATGGAAACCTTCCTTCCTGAATACAAGGTGGTATTTGATGTCCAGGTTGGGCACAGGACTTGTGTTTCTAGACTAGATGACTCCCTTTTTCACGCAAGGCACATTCACACGGGGTTACTCACGACGGTCTTCAGGGGCGTGGAGGTTATGAACTTGTGTTATACCAATGTCCTCATTGCTGTCTGGCCTCTTTTTATGATTCTGGATTCTCGTGTTCTGAACGAGTGTTTCTCCCTTTCCTCTCTGGTAAGCAGTCATCTCTCCCTGCTGGCAAGCCTGACGCCTTTCAGATTTCCCCTGACTCCTGCTTCTAAACCACGTTAGAGGAGAAACCCTCAATACTTGGTTTGTTAACACCAGGTTTAATAGAAGAGCCTGTTGAGTTCTAAAGATGTATAAAACGCCTTTGGTATAAAAATCAAAGGCGTTTTATACATCTTTATAATGATGTCCCTCAGGTCATGTGCCTCTCTGCTCACAAGCTTTGTACTGCTTCTCATTCCGACCTAAACGAGTCCGGTCACCCCAGGCTGGTCCCGTTTCCAAAGCCTTCAGTGATCTGTCCCCAGACCACACCTGCGGCATCCCTTCGTGTCACGCTGCCGGTGTTCTCCCAGGCTCTGTGCCTGCTGCCCCTGGCCTCCTCTTGTGCCCCGAATCCCCACCCACCCTTCAAAGCCCGGTTCAAGGCCCAGCGCCTTCCTGAAGTCTTCCTCGGTTACACAGACCCTCCGCCTGTCCTCGGAACCCTCCTATCATTTTAGCCGCATCCCTCCCACGGCATCTCTTGCTTTCTGCCTTAAAAGGACAGACTTCTTTGCAGATCACGTCTAGGTCCCCTTACTATCCTAAAACCTCCTTGGAGAGGTTTCCTATAAGCCCCAGCGCTGCCTCTTGCTGAATGAATGCCTGCGTGGTGGCAGTGCTCCCGCTGTGCTCTCCACAGCCGAGGCTGCTGCGTTCCCAGGCCCCTGTGGGAGGCGAGTGGCGCTCCCGGGGGTAACGGCTGAGCCGAGTCCCAGCCCTTCCCTGGCCTCTGGCGCACGTGGCCTGCCTCGCCCCCATGCCCTCCCAGCGCAGGAGCTGCACGCAGCGGCAGGCGGCCGGCGGGCACTCACCGCTGCCAAGCCTCAGGAGCAGCACGTCCTGCAGCCTCCGGTTGAGGTCCCGGAGTTCCTTCATCTCGGACACGAGCGCCCCGTACTCCTTGAGCTTCTTGGCCTGCTGGACCAGCTGCCTCCGAGTCCGCTCCAGCTCCTGCTGGAGGTGGCGCATCTCCTCCTGCTGCTGCTGGTAGTTACGCAGCAGCTCCTCGTACAGAGCCCGGGGCACGACGGCCTCCTCCAGACTGTCCATGTCCTCCGTGCCCGGTGAGGCCTCCACGAAGACCTCCTCCGGACATGTGCCGTGGCCCAGGCTCAGGCCGTTCTGCTTCTCCAGCCGGGCCACCACGGCCTCGATGCTCTTGTGCGCCACGTCGCCCGGCTTCCGCCCCTCGGGTCTCTGTGTAGGACAACGAGAGTCAGTTCAGGCAAGGGCAGCTGGGACTTTTCTTGGACTGCAGCTCAATATTTCCCCAGACAATCCTAGAATCACAGAACCACAGAACATCAGTGCTTGGAGACGCCTGTGCAAACACATAGTCAAAGCCCTTCATTTTCCCGATGGGGAAGCGAGAGACACAGAGGGAGGAAGGGTCTTGCCCAAAGCCAGGAAGGCAGCTGGTGGCAGAGCCAGGACTGTGGTTTCCCAGGCCAGCAGTGTTTCCATTCCATCCCTCTGCCTCTTGGGTCAATGTTATACCATGGCCACCCGCCCCAACTCCCCAGCCACCCGCCCCAACTCCCTAGCCTCCCCGTCCCACCCGTAGGGCCTAGGCAGTGACTTGCTCACAGGAGGTGTTCGTGTGTATTTGTGGAGAATCAGTGAGAAATCAGGCCAGTCCATCCCAAGGGAGTCACCACTCAAATCACTTCAACAACAAAAACATAAAAGTGGGGGGGTTGGGGGGAAAGGGCATTCCACCAAGTAACCTTTTCCTCAAGAGTGCGTTAGTTGGGAAGGGTGCTAAGAACTTGAATCTACTCTAATCTAGGGCAGACACCATGTCTTATTTGCTTGGTCTCTGCAGAACTGGCACTTGGCAGGGGCTTGATAAACGTTTACTTAACTGAAAAGTTCAAAGAATGCTAGTGTTGGCAGGTTCTTCAGTTTAACTCCCTCATTTTGCAGGTTCTGAGAAGACTGAGGCTCAGAGAGGGGCAGGCCTGGGTTCAGGGTCACATGATGACCGAGAGCCAGAGCCAGACCCAGAACCTGGAGCCCGACGTGCAGCGCTTGGCTTCTTCCCCCGTATCTGCCCGTCTCTCTGTGGACACTGGCCTAGTTGGAGCTCAGCAAGACAGTGGGTACAGAAAGGACAGTTCATTGAGAAGAGAATTATCCAGGACTAACCAGGGGTTTCAGCTGCTGGAGGAAATTCCAGCTCAAGTGGACAAAGCCTCCATTGAAGGGGAGTGAAAGCTACAGGACCAGTGGAATTTTTCCCCCAGGGCAGGGGGGGTCAGGAGCTCGCCTGATTGGGGGCGCTTGTGGGAGGCACAGACAACTGATGACACAAGATTCCAGGCAACTTAACTATGTCGGGTCAAGCCTGCCTTAATTTCTCACTAAGTGTCAGAAAATTTAAAGAACAACAACAAGAACCACAAACATGACTAAGATTGAGTTACATGACAATATCCTATCCTATCATTTTTCAAATGGGATAAGGCACTGCTAGCCTAGACGAGCTTATTAGCTAAAACTGCAATGATTGCTTTAGGTATCTGTCTGCATCATGACACTGTGAGACCACCAAGGGAAGTGACCACATAGGGCTAACTTCCGGGACCCTGGGGACTGGCACGGGGCCAGACCCATGGCAAGGGTACAATGAATGAAACTAGGTGCATCTTTTGGATTATACCTTGGAGATGTCCTTGACCTTGTGTCCAAAATCAGACCATGGTCAATGCAGATGGCATCACCTTCTTTCTCCTCCCTTCCTCTGGGGTACCCATTGTACAGAAAAACTACATGACTTGTTGAACAGATTTTCAGCAGGTTTACAACTGAAGGCTGGAGAAGACCAAGCGTGATGCACTCTAAAGGAAATGTAACCTCATGCAAAAGTTTTCTTCCAACCCATAAACCTGCTTCTGTGAGCCTGGCTCACCCTGTTTCCTAGTCTGTCCACCCTTAGTTGTCTGGGTCAATCTCAGAGTGACTGGCTCGAACTTGCCACCCAAGAACGGCTTGCTTAATGTCCTGAGCTCAGCAGACACCTCTCCAAAGCTGAGGGCCAGGACCCCCACCCTCAGCAGAGACGACACTACATAGATGGTGCAGACAGGACGGTGCTCGGTGGCACAGCACGGCAGGGCTCCCTGGAAGGTTGGCCAGCAAACACACTAGCTGTCTCAGGTATCTCCCAACCTGAAAACATCATGGCCTGTGACACCGGGGGACATTTATATGGTGAGAAGAGGCCAGACTGGAATTCTTTAGCTATCAGAAACCTGAAAATGCCCCCACACACTTCCAAAAAAAGAAAGGTGTTGTTACCTTGATGTGTCTAAGCTGTGAGTCTTCTTCCCCGTAATCTTTAACCTCCCCATCTTCGTCTACGTGACTGAGAGAAAGTTTGGGGATTTTTATTTTCTTCTGCATCACACTGTTTTCAAGGTCAGATTTATCTTCTAAAATGTATATCAAGAGAACAAGGTTCATTATGAGTCAAAATGCTAAAAAATGCCCATAAACTCAAATGCTAAGGAATGACTGAGGCCAGACCAGTTAAAAAGGAAAAGCAAATAAGCCTGAGTCCTGTTTTCTCCTGTACACAGGGATCCCCAGAGTGGCAGTGCAGATCAGACTCTAGGATCAAGAGTACTGGCTGGAAGAACTGCCATTCAAAGTGTTGAAACCGTGGCCAGTTAATTTGCTTAGGGGTTTCTCTAAGTACATTGTAAAGGGTGGCCTTTTATGGAATTCTAGAAACTGTGAGCTGGAATGGCCCTTAGATTGCTATCTGGTCTAAGCTTAACTTAGCACACGAATCCCTCAACTACCAAGATCTTTCTAAGCCAAGCGACTTCCCAGAATAAGCTGGTGGGTTTCTGTCAGCTCAGGTACCAACAGGTATGAAAGGGGCGATAGTTCTTCTGGAGGTAAAACCCGGGGTTTTAGAAGGACAGGGACCTCCCCACAGCTCAGACACAGGACAGGCTGAGGTAGAACAGGTAAAGGAAGAGTAACAAGGAACATTTACCACTTTTTTACTGGTATCAGATCAGAGAAAGGCAGGGTTTCGGGGTCCTCAGAGGCTGACTGGCCCCACTCTCTCATTTTATAGATGAGGAAACTCAAACCCAGAGGACAGAAGGGGCTTGCCCGAGGTGTGAGTCTGAGGAGGAGCTGGAGTGGGGAACACACCTCTGGTATCTTGCATCCAGCCCAGTGCTTCCGTGTGGAATACTAAAGTGTGCTACAAACTGCCAAGTGCTTACAGCTACAACTGGATTTTCCCTTCCCACTTCCTCTTTCTTAGAGCTCAACTTCAGATCATCTAAAAGATAATGTTTTCATCCTGCCCAGATTTCAAACTTCATTTCCAAGATCTGTCTCTCATAGTGGATGTCACAAGTAAAAACTCAAACAGGAGCGTCCCAGAGGCAGTATTTGAGCCTGCTCTGGAACTGGGCCCTTGCGGTAAACACGCTGGGGTCTTGTTTCTGGGATTGAACTTAGATGAGACTCTGGGAATTACGGTTTCTTATGCTTCTCTAAGGTTCCTACTACTATTGGGTTGTCGGAAAAGTCATGATGCATTTTTGCAACGAAAAGCATAGAAAAAATACATCATGACTTTTCCGCCAACCCATTATGTCCTAAATGGAGTTTCCAGCATGTTGTGCATTGCTGGATGTGGCACGCGGCGAGGTAGCTGGTTAAACCCAGTCTCTCAGGGGTCTTTCTGTGTGAGTGTGAGTGTGAGTGTACACGCATATGTGATTGTGTTAAACACGCTCTGACACTTCCCCCAGACAAGGCTTCTCTCCTTACTACTTGTTAGTAAAGCTGAGAAGGCAGCATAGAAGTACATAACTATTCTAGAATGTAGTCAAAATGCCAGATCTTCCCAAATGGCCGGGACTCCGGTATCAGAGAGACCTCAGTGTGAACCTCAGCTCTTCTGTGACAAGATGAGGAGGGAGGGGCAAAACCTTAGTCTCACTGGGCTCAGGTGTCTGCTCTGTAAGGGGATTGTTAAGGATGACAGCAGTAATTCATACAACTCACTGCACAGTGCCTGGTACACACTAGGCACTCCATGAATGAGATGTTAAAATTAGTATAATCAACATGCTAGGAATCATTTTATTTACCTAACCATAAGGTGAATAAAGATACAATTTAAAAAACAAAGGAATGACTAAAGGAAGGTATAGGTGTTAAGCGAAGTGCCCAGGAAAAAAAGAGGTGGTGTTTGGTGATAACATCCTCCTGAGCAAAGATGCAAATGGCCTTTCCCACTACCTGGATGGTCAGGTTCTATTTTTCATAAACAAGGCCTGCTCTTGTTCTCTTTGTGTCTATAAAATACATCCAGGGGGTTAGGCATGAACAACAGTAGGGATGTGGTGTTTCTAAAAGAGTAACAGCTTCTTTTCAACAAATCATTTTTTACTCTTTCTAAGCCAAAAAGCTGCTAAAATGTAATACAGAAAGTGCTCCAAATGAAGTTATCCTGAAATGGGATGGAGAGCCTCATGCGAAGAGCCAGAGAGAGAGAGAGAGAGAGAGAGAGAGAGAGAG